GGTTGATGGTTGAGGGTTGAGGGTTGAGGGTGCAAAGGTGCAAGGGTGGGAAGGAGGTCGGAATCGGGTTGGTCGGGAGCCAGGCTCGACGTCGCGGTTGGCCAACCGGACGGGACAATGTCCACGACCCGAGGGTGTCCGGCTCCCGCATGAGCCGGTCGGAGTGGACGCCGAGTGCTAAACACTCCCCGATTGGGCCTGCCCTTTACCACACGCTCTTAAGCACCGGCCGGGCCCATCTTGATTACCAACTCGAGGCGATGCATCAACAATTTGCCAGCAAAAGCAACCAAAAATGCGATTAGTAGAAAGAGGAATAAAAAAAACGAAGACGAAGAGGAAGAAGAAGAAGAGAGAAAAGGAGAAGAGAGAAAAAGAGAAGATAAAAGGGAGAGGAAAACGAAAAAGAGGAAAAATAAAGGATGAAGGAGGTGTAAAATGAAAAAAAGATTAATATGAAGTTAAAGATGAGGGAGAAAAAGGAGAAGAATAATTAAAAGAAGGATGAAGATGAAAAGAAAAACAGAAGGAGAATAAAGAGAATAAAGGGTAAAAGAAGAGGAATTCGAAGTAAAAATAAAAGAATTAGGAGAAGAAAAAGTAAAAGAAAAAAGAGCAAAATGAAGATAAATATAACAAGATGAGGATGAGGTAGAAGAAAAATTAAAAAAAAACAAAATAAGAAGAAAAGATAAGATAAGGAGGAAGATAAAAAACAGAAGAAGAAGAAGTGTAAGAAAAAGTAAAAGAAGGAGAAGGATAAAAAATGTAAATGAAGAAGAAGTAAGATTAAAAGAAAAACAGAAGAAGAAGAAGGAGAAGAAAAAATAAAAGAATAAGGAGAAGATAATGTAAAAGAAAAAGAAAGAAGATAAAAATATGATAAGGAAGATTTAAGAGAAGAAAAAGTAAAAGAATAAAAGATAAAAATGTAAAAGTAGAAGGAGTAAGATGAAAAGAAAAACAGAAGCAGAAGGAGACGAAAGAGTAAAGGAAGAAAAAGGGGAAATAAAAAGATAAGATAAAAAAACAGAAGAAGAAGAAGAAGAATTAAAAGAAAAAGAAGTAGAAAAAAATTTAAAAAAAAGAAAAAATCTAAAAGAAGGACAGAAAAGGAAGAAGATGTAAATGTAAAAGAAGAAGGAGAAGAAAGAGAAGTAAAAATAATGT